TTTAGGGTTTAGGGTGTAAGGTTCACCTGAAACGCCCCAAGGTGCTTTTGAGCCTTGTTTTACTTGTTTTTGTGGCTTAGTAGGTCGGGAAGGAATTTTACAACTTGTTTGGGACGTGATCTAGCCCCGAAACATCTTTAATCCACTTTTTTTGCAGTGCTGGATAGAGGTTTGGGGCTCCCAACCAGGCCTCTACCCTAAGTCTTAAACCCTAAGCCCTAAACCGGGTAGCTCATGTCCTGACCTTGCCAAAATGGTCCGTGTAGCTATATAGTGTACATACTTGGGACCCAAAATGGCATGTGGGAAACCCTTTGGCTTCACATTTATACCATATTCCTACACGGACACTTTGGGTTATCCACGTGGTCCGCGGCCCCAAGACCGAAAATACAATACTCTCAGCATGTGCTCTTCGTGTGAGCCATAATCTAAACTCATTAAAGAAGGCCTATACAACCTCCTATTACTGTCCTCATATTACATCCCCCACAGCCCCTGAGCACCAGTAAGTAATCCCTAAACCCTAATCCTTAGACCCGAAGCTCTTAGCCATACCGTTTCGCCTCAAACCCTTAAACTCCTGAACCCTAGACTCTAAACCCCAAAGCCCATAGAGGTTTGGGGCATATATACCCTCAAACCCTAGACCCCTAAACTCTTAAACCCCAAACTGTGTAGGAACCCTAAATTCTTGACCCTCAATCCTGAACCCTGAACCCTCAACCCTAAGCCGTGTAGGAATGCGTGGAGCAGAAAGCCTGGGGCTTCGAGTGTGGGCTTTATCCCGATCAGCTGGATCAGATCTGCCAAGCGGCTGGGACTCTCCGGGCTCTAGGGTTTAGGGGTTTAGGGATGGAAGTTCTAGCGGTTCAGGGTTTAGGGTTCAGGGGTCGAGGGTTTAGGGGTCAGGGGTTTAGGGGGTTTAGGAATTTCAGGCTTTAGGGTTTGCGGGTCTAGGGCTTTTGGGTTTGGGATATGGTAATGGTAGCATGTCAAGACTGTGGCTCTTTTGTTCAGGTTCCCAGTATCTTGCGACCCCCCGATATGCATCCCTGGCAGTCTAAAGTATCCGTTCATATGAGCTGTAGTCTTAAGCTCCTTTAAGGAGATTATATAGGGAATTATGTAGGGAGTTTTATAAGGGGTATTAAAGGGGATCCTAGGAGTTTAGACTACAGCTCATTGGGTTTAGGATGTAGGGTTGTTTTGAGTTGTAGGCTTAGCTTGCAGGGTTTCGTAAGTATTTGCAACAGTATGGGTCTCCGATAGCTACCTCAAAAGAAGAGGGACTCTCCAAACTAGGACCCCCCCCAGTGGCACAAAGCCTCTAGACCCTAACCCATATGGGGGTTCAGAGTTGAGGAATCTCACCGCCCATCGCCCTGCAGTAATGAGTATCTTCCATCTACTACCATGATATATCAGGGAGAATATGATCAGCGGGGGTCGGGGATTGTTCTTCTTCCGGGGCAGGGGATTGTTTCAAGACTTGAGGTTGAGAAAGGAAGGTTCAAATATTGCGTTGAGTGCCTGTAGCGTGGGGCGGGATGTGTTGCGAACCGGTAGCCCCACTTACCATCCACGTGGTTTAGGGGTTTAGGGGTTCAGGGCTTAGGTTGTAGCGGTACCCCCAAACCCCAATGACCTCCAGTTTCATGGGTTGTAATTTAAGCCCTAAACCCTAAACCCTAATGATTAATTTCAGGATACTTACCTGCGGCTCCATGGCTTACAGTTGCTGTGAGGTGTAGTTACTTACAGCTTCCTGCGTCATGTTTGGTATGAATCAGAGGTAGTTACCTATAGGTTTATGCGCTGTGGTCGCGAGTGAGGGGATCATTGCTACTAAGTTGCACGTAAATCGGGGTTACTGGTATGGTCCCAATTTTTCTGAGCTTGCCAAGAAGAGTGCGGTGGGGGGGTCTACAAGGCAAGCTGCAGTGATTACATGCAGGCCTTCAGGCTTCCAGCGTTGGGTTGCCGTTGGTGTGACAGGGAAAGATTTCAGAGCCACATCTCAGTCTTTCTCCTGCCCTTCTCTCTCCCTCACTCTCTCTCTCCCTCTCTTCCTGCCCCTCTCTCACTCTCTCTCTCGCTCTCTCTCGCTCTCCCTGTCTCTCTCTCTCTCTCTCGCCTTCTCCCTTTCTCCCTCGTTTGTTCTTGTGTTATTCTTTGTCTTCCTATCTTGCGACCGTGTTGCAACAACCACCCGGAAATCTGAACTCCAAAGCCGAAGACCTCATCCATAAACCCCAGCCTCTAAACCTTAAGCTTTAAACCGCTCAACTTCAATCCTTCAACCCTACACTCTTCAAACCCTAAACCCTAAACCCTAATGCCTGGCCACAAAAACCCTAAACGTGCAGCTGAGGACGGCCTGACCTGCAAGGGGCCTGGCACTCAGAAAGTGTTTAGGGTTTAGGGTTTAGGTTTAAAGGATTCTAATGGGAACCCCAAGAAGATGGTAGGTATATTGTAGAACATATTTCCCCTTAGGCAGATAGAATATGGCTTTGGGTATATTATAGTGACATCCCCATATATCTCATATTCTATCTACTTAAGGGGGACTATATACCTACCCAGGTCCTGATATTTCTTTGATATTCCTACGGTATTCTTTGGTTTCCCTGCTGGGGTTCCCATTTTACGCCCTTGACTGGCATCTTGGGAATGGAGAGCTTCGATGAGTTGCTGAAGGCTTAGGAAGAAGAGAGTTCAGGTTGTGTTTCTAGGCTAGAGGCTAAGTTTTTGTCTTGGGTTGGGAGGCCACCCCAAGCCCTAAAACCCTGAAACTAAACCCCTAAACCCCGGGCTTTTCTCGCTACTTGGCTCCGGGGTTGGGTCTGAGGCTGAATGTCAGTGACACCTACATGACCTCCGGCGACAACAGAGGCTTGCCAAAGAGGTTGTTCAGGGGTTAAAGGATTTAGGGTCTAGGGTTTAGAGTTTAGGTTTCAAAGCTACATGCCTTCAGGGCTTATCCTGTCTCCCTAGACCCGAAACGCTGAACTTCTGTGTTTTTTTCCAGTTGCGTAGCTTGGCTTCACAGGCTTAGTTGGGTTGTAAGTTTATCGGGCAGGTCCATTTAAGCTGTCGTAGCCAGAGCAGAGAGCCCCCCTCCAGATTTAGAAGGATTTAAGGTGGGATGCATACATATATATATATATATGTATACATATACATATATATATATATACATATATATTTTGCATTATTTACAAGTAGGTACCATTGTCCTTTATAAGGGCTCTCCAAGGCCTAAGGCCCAACCCGAGAGTCGAATCCTCGAATTCCTTGAGAAGAGGTCTTCAGAGTGGGTTTGGGGCTTGGGGTTTAGGGTATAAGGTTCAGGGTTTAGGGTCTAGGGTTTAGGGTCTAGGGTTTAGGGATGAGGGTTTAGGGTTAAGGGTCTATGCTCAGGGCTTCATAGCTGAGCACTCCAGCAGACTTACTTGCTGGTGGTTAGTATGCTAGATTCTAGAGGGATTAGAAAGGGATCATATTCCCTTGTTCTCTACTAACCACCAATAAGTTCGGGAGGCTAGGTTTCGGGTTTAGTGAGGGGAAATCCTGTGACTGCGCTGACTCGGTCTTGGTCTTCAGTGTCCTAGGTTTGACCTGCCGTAGCTGTATCCAGGAGGCAGGGTCAAAGTGCATCTCCCGACCCTCATAGAATCCCTTGCTGCATTTCTCGGCCAGGAACCGGAAAACTTTGGTCTAGCGAGGTTATGCCGCATAGTCCCTTATGATTTCTTTTATTTTCAAATAACATTCGTCTACGCTAATATACCCTGTTTTTGGGTATCATGCAGGTTGGACGTCGACGTCCAAGGCAAACTGCGAGTACTGCACTCCGGCAGACAAGTGCGAGACTGGTGCCAAGAGGTGGGGCGCGGCCGCAAGGGTCCAAGTACTTATGTTTTAGTGTCTAGGGCTATATTGGGGTAATCTTGGAATAATGGAAAAGAAAATGACTAGAATGGGGTTGCATAGGGTTTTGGGTTTTGGGGGTTCTCATAAGAGAATTTGGGTTGGGTTGATATATGGGGATCGATGAGTTTTGGTGTCTCGAATTTTTGATTTAGAGCGCAGGGTTGGGGATACATAGGGCCAATACCCGACCCAAGGAATGGAGAACCAAGTGGAAAAGAACATGGATGCCTATACTGGGTCAAAGTTGAGGGTTTTGACACGCTCAAACCCAACCTAGACCCCAAAAGTAATTAAACTATTGGCTCCAACCCCGTAAAGTAGCCCCACGTGCCATTATTCCATATATTTTTGCGGTTTGGTTAAAAACTTATTCTAGAGCCGCAAGTCTTCTTAGCATCCCAGTCAGGAGCTTATACACTACTCTCCACTTGAGTAGTCTTCTATTTAGGGATACTATAAACTCCAACATTGAGTAGGAGTAAACCTCCTTTGGGGTATAGTAACTTATATACTGAAGTAATGTAGTCTTTCTGGGGTGTGCCACCGAAAAGATTACACATATCACGACTCGAGAGGCCACCTACCAACGATTCTCGATCTTGATATGGAAAGAGTCTCGCACCATATGCCCATACCAAGCTAAAGCGGGGTGCTGCGCACTGCAAAAGTCCGAAATAGCTCCAGGAAGCTGGCAGAAATGTTGGCACCAAGTTATCCGCAACATTAGGCAGACATGTTCCTGGTAATGCCCCAGTTGCAGGCACGAGGAGACCTGCGTCCGCACTGGAGATCTGAACAACTGGGAGGAGCCTTGCTTACCTTGCTGATGATTTTTTGGTAGGAGATTGAGGGCTGGAAAAAACAAAAAAGATAATTCCAGTCAGTAGGACTCATACAGTAAACTCCTTCCTTCATTCCCTCTTAACTCTACACCCACGCCCTAAACTCTGAAGAATACAGCACTTGCCATTCTTTGCTCCACTCCTGTCATTCCCGCCGAACTACCAGCAAGTCGGAACGGCAGGTCTTCTTCAAGATAGGTGTTCCGCACGGATGCAAGGGGCGCAGTCGCATCGCAGAGTTGTTGCCTGAAAACTGTCAAACTCTGGCGTTTAGGGTTTAGGGTGTAGGGTCGGGTCCATTTTGGAATCTGGTATGCGCTCAAGTATGTGCGAGACGCCCTGAGGGCAGGTTTTTCTAAGAGGCAGTCGTAGTTGGATCCATATCTTCTTCTCGATGTCGGGATTGTTGCCTACATATCTCACTGGAGTAACAAACTTTTCTCAGAAAACCGAATGGGCTTGGCACCTGCTTCTCTGGAATTTACTGCAGGAGCCTGAAAAATCTCAACAGCAATCCCTTGCAGACCTCGTATGGCTACAGAAGGTTGAACTTAAACTGTCCTTCAGAACCCATCCCACCTACAGTATTTTGACGCAACAACCGGACGAGGATCTGTTCAAGCTACATACAGCATGCAGGTTTGCGCTTTAAACCCTAAACCCTAACCTAACCCTAAACCCTCGTAGCCTAGCCTGTAGCAAGTGAGAAAGTTTTCAAATGTCAAGATTTCCGAGGCCATGCTTCTGGGGTGGGATCCATATGAGACATAGTCTAAACTCCTTAAAGGGAGGTTTTATAGGGGAGTACTACAGGGCTTATTAAGGGGGATACTAGGATTTTAGACTATAGCTCATATTATCTCTTATAGCCGTAGATGGATTCCCAAACATAATGTAGAAGCCTAAATAACTATCAACATGGTTCCCAAAGCACCTTGACATACCCACAGTATAGCATGCTCTCATCGTTCAGGCCCTAAAATTACCGCTGGCGGATCACCGTCAAGGCTTTCCCCAACCTGCGCCTTACAATGTTTTTTAGTTCCTGGTCTACATTACTGCAGCACTTGGAGGGTCAGGGGTACTTAGTAAGTAGAAAAAACCCTATGACCCATACAGTAACCCTAGTTATCCCCATTACCAACCCTACTTGCTAAGTCCCCCTGACCCTCCAAGTGGTACCCCAGAAAGAGGCATATCTTGCCCTCGTCATATTCCATGGTGAGCAAGCCTACACTGCAGACATGACTTGACCATGTTTGTGAAGCGTTACAGACATTGCGCGCAGCCTAAACCCTAAAACTATATACCCTGTTATAATGTAGTGGTTTCCTTTTCTTTTCTATTATCCCAAGATAACCCCAATATTACCCTGAGGAACTAAAATCCTTCAAGACCCTGAAAAGGGTCCCCATTGGGTTATATAGGGGTTATATAGGGATGACGGAAAAGAAAATGGAATCCACTATAGTATAGGCGGGTTATACAGGGTGTAGGGTGTAGGTTTAGCAATGGTTTACGCCCTATCTACACTTTCATTCAGGAGCTAGACACCTGGGACGACGAGAAAGTGTGGAAGGCCGCACCATGTACGGTACCTTATACCCTCGGGATATATAGGGATACTGGAAAAGAAAGTAGAAACCGCTATAGTATATTGGGTCTATATAGGGATACTGGAAAAGAAAATGGAAACCACTATAGTATTTTGGGGTTATTTCAGGGTTTAGGGCTTAGGATAGTTGATGGCGACAGCGCATCTTGAAATATGGGTCTGTCTCAGACTTGCATAGGCTCATAGGAATGTAGTTCCAACCTCCCTACACCGGGGGGGAGGGGGGGGGAGTGGCGGGATAGTAATGGCATGGAAGGCATGGGTCAGACTGTTACCAGGGTGCTACCCGCCTGGAACGGCTTCTACATATTATGAGCTCCTTTTGGAGAGCTTCCAAGACAGCATTCCCGGCTCTGGGAAGCAAACAGGGCAGGCCCAAAATCGGAAACGTACTATGCAGTTACTTGAATTAAAGCATATTTGTCCGGCAACAACGCATGCAAAAGGCAGACGCTCATGGTGGAAGCCTTGTGCAACAGAAATTTTCTTGAGGTACCGCCGGAGTTGCGCCGTGCAATGCATGGCGATCAATGTCCTCTCCGTAATAATGAACACCCCATCGCCCAACATGAAATAATCTACTAATGTGGTTTGGCTAGAGCCACAGTCTAAACTCCTATTATCGCCCTTAATAGCCCCCATAATCAGACTCCCTTATACAATCCCCTCTAAGGAGTTTAGACTGTAGCTCACATATGGGCGTGCTTGCGCGGTGTTAACATTGGGGAAGGGACTAAGCGCAAAATCGTTTCATGGTATAGACCTCGCAAACTAGCGTGAAACCCGTTTTTATGAGTAAGACGAGGATTTCATGTGTAAACATGGTATAATCTATATCATATCATACATTACAATAGAATATAGTATGACATATTATAATATAGCATAATACAATATAGCATAATGTAATACAGTATAATATCATACAAGAGGATATATACTGATGCAAACTAGATGGAACACCTTTCGGTCCTCTCCCAAACAGGACAGTAGTCTTTGCATCTGGGGCTTCATGCTAGCTTGCCGGGAGGGGAACCCTCCTAGACGTTGCACGCCGTTTTGGAATTACCTATGGTGTCTCTGTCTATTTTGTCACAGGCCTGGGACAACAAGGTGCAGAGATTACCGCAGGACGGCACCAGTGACTAGTTGTGGGCCCGATGGCCTTGTTAGCGGTGGGAGTTCACGGGGTTTATGGTTTATAAACCCCATGCAAACCCTATATGGTGTTTTGCAAAATTGGGTGTACCATTTTGGGGGCCTAACAATAAGGACTATAGTATATTGGAGTCTATATTGGGGTCCCCCCTGTTTTGGGAAACTACCACATCCTAAATCCAAAGCCCTACAACCTTGAACCCCCAAACCCTAAACCCTAAACCCTAATACTTAAGCCGTGTGACGTTAGGCAGACTTTGGGCTGAGGCATTAGCTGTTTAGGGTTTAGGGTGTAGGGGTAGATTTGGCGTTGGGGGATACAGCTTAGGGTCTATAGTCCCCCTTAAGTAGATAGAATATGGCTTCGGGTATAAAAAACAAGATCCCCACATATCCCATGTTCTTTCCACTTAAGGGGGACTATACAGCTTAAGATCTAAGATGTGCATTGAGGAATTTTGAACTTGGCAGCTTCAGTGTCCTAAACCCTTAACCCTAAAACCCTTAACCCTAAAACCCTAAACCCTAAAACCCTAAAACCCTAAATCCTAAAACCTTTGACCCTAAACCCTAAACCCTGCAAATCAGTGCCCTTGGATCAAACACCACCTAAAGGGCTTCGGGTTCTGCATTCAGTCAAGGTCTGGGCCTCAAGAGTTTGTGAAGAAAAGGACCAAATAGGGTTTAGGGCTTTAGGGTTTAGAGTTTTAGAGTTTAGAGCTGCTTAGGGTTTAGAGTTTGGGGGTGTTAGGGTTTAGGGTTTTAGGGTTTCAGGGTTTTAGGGAAAGAGACGGAGCAAAACATGGTTCTACATTGGGCTTCAGGGAATGAGGTTTCTTCGCATCAACGATTTATTTCCTGAGCTGGGAGATTCATTCGGAGGTTGTTTTAAGACCCTTGTGTAGAAGGGACCACTAGGGATACATGCTCTCAAAGTATCCCATGCTACCTACCTGTCCAGGGGGTAACCTCCAACTTTTTAGCTTCACGAGAGGGGACTGCTTCGTTTCCAGAACTAGGGTCCTCGTTCCAAACACTTACCACTTCGGCCCCGAAGGGCCTATGTAGGGTTTAGTGTTTCGGGCCTGGGATTTGGGATTTGATGGGGCTGCTTCGTTGCCCGAACTAGGGTTCTCATTCTGAGCACCCACCACTTCAGTCCCGAAGGGTCCATGTCGGGCTTTAGGGTCTAGAACTTAGGGTTGAGGGTGTAGGGTTTAGGGTAGGTATGTGGTATATACCTAGGGCCAAAGGAGTTTCCCATCTACTTGCTTTGGGGCCAAAGTATATACTATATAGCTACATGAACTCTGTGGGAGTGTCTCCCCCCGGCCGGAGATGAACAGCAACGATATAATCCCCCTGCGAGTCGGCTTCAGGGGATCATGCCAAGTTGCAGCATACAATACGGACAAACGGAACATCTAGGATCAACAGCTGGATTGTATACAGGATTGTGGAGCATCTCCTGACATTCTAGCACTCTCAACTCTAAACCCTAAAGCGGAGCACTGTAGTTGTAGACAGGTTGAAATACTGACACTTCTACGTCCGTGTTAGGAAGCTTTGATTCAATGGGTTTGGGCTTTATGGTTTCGAGTGGGTTGCTTCATCACATTTGCGAAGCAGCTGTTTACTTGCCCGGGAAACATGGACCGGACTGAGATTTGCGAGGGCGTTGAAGCGCTAAAGCCTGAGCCCCGTCTGGGGTTCAGGGTTTGAGTTTTTTCATGGCTTCCTCTGCTGCCTCAGTTAGGCTCTGATTATCCGTCAGCAACCTTAAACAAGAAAGAACCGAGCGGCTAGTGTGAAAATCAGTCAATTTGCCGCCGCCGCGCATCAGTTTCGCATTATCTCCACAAACCACTATGGGCTATTAGACCTTAAGGGTACCTTAATCTACCCTTCATAGGGTCCTAATAGGGAATTTTAGGGTCTAATAGCCCATAGTGGAACAGGACGGTCTGCGGCCTTTTGGCGATCAGCTGGCCGAGATGTGCGTCACCGTGAAGGCCGGGGGGTGCATCGTGCAGTAAACCTGTTTCATGATACTAGACTCCAGCCTGATGCGGTTGAGGGTTTAGGGTTTAGGGTTTAGGGTTTAGGGTTTGGTGGTGCATATTTTGGCACTAGGGCCCTGTGGACATGTGGTTTTCATTTGTGCAGCGGGGAGGGCTCCTCTTAAAAGGACCCGTTATACTCCCCAAAGCTTACCTGGGTTAGCAAAGCATGAAACACTGCATCCTTATGGTAGTCCCTGTATGTAATTTAGAACCTAATTACATGTAGGGTCTAGAGTTTAGGGATTTACGCCCTGCTAAACGGATGTAAGAAACATGCGGTAAGCAAAACGCCAGGTAACGGTCCCGGCGCTCACGCTGAGTGACAAGAGCTCCCGGGTCTTGGAGACCAAGATCAACACCACGCTGGAGGCAGGCCGTTCTCCCCTAAAGGGAACATTGGCATAGATGGGATCGCTGGAAGGGGCAACAGGTAGAGTGGCACATAATTTGTGGTTCAGAGAAATAAGCAAACATGTAAACTACTAATTACTCTACATGAATCCGGTTTTCATGTCATTCTCCACCTTCTACTTACTCAGATTAGTTTACTCATTCAATCCCCTTGGCCTAAATCTTAAGCAATCCGATAGTTTGTGCGTTCTTTTCCAGTGACCCGCTCGAAGGCAACCTGTATATCCCTGTGCATCCTCCAAATAGGATCCTTCCGCGTGGGGACCAAGGATTCGGGTTTAGGGGTTAGGGTTTAGGGTTTAAAGTTCAGACACTGGGTCCTGGAGAAAAAGAAGGTAAGTGTTTGTACAGGTATAGGGTTTGAGGAGATGTGGCTACGAGAAACTATACCTGCTGTGGAATGTTGAGGCCTTGATTTGAAGAGAATTTGAGGCCGTGGGGACCCTATAGACGGGATACAGGGATTATATAGAGTCATAATTAGAGTATTAGAGTATTTGCCTCCCCAGAATATCACGCTGCACGTATGTGACTCTGCATTGTTCAGAGAGATGTCTGTTGGCTGTGGAGGTCATCGCCAATGCCACCGAGAAGGCCAGTTGCAGCCAATGTCGCCCTAAACCCTAAACCCTAAGCCCTAAGCCCTAAACCCCAAGCCGTAAACCTTAATCTTTTCATATTTGGTTTCAGGTGCCTGCAAGACGTCGGGCTCCACACCAGGTCTTGAGTGGGGGCATCCTCAACCTTGTTGCTTTTTGAGTAGAATGTGTGGTCTTGAGTACATGGTTTGGGCTTGAGGCAGTGTCGGCTTGGGATGGATTAGTAAGGGTCTCAGAAACCACAAGGGTGTTGAGTGTTGAGTGTGCCCTTTTGCCCCTTTTTGGGGTCCTAAGTTCTTTATAACCCGAAACCCTAAACATGCCCTAAACTTTAAACAGTATAAAAATAGGCCATATTCAAAAAGGGGACCTTTCCAGTCCCAGGCCCTAAGGATCCAAGACACCTAGCGCCAATGAATCCTAACCTCGCCACAAATCCTACAACCCTAGATCCTGGGTGCAGGGTGTAGGGTTGAGGGTGGGGCCCCGAACCACCAAGGTTCGCACCCCGCCCTAGGCCTTGAACCTTAAATGGTAGTTTCCAAACAATAGGGGGACTCCAAGACAGACCCCAAAATACAATGATTTTTATTATACAGGGAGCCCTCAAAAGAGGCCCTTATGTTTTGCGGAAGGTGTGAACTCTAGCTTGTTCCAGGCAACTGCTTCAGCAGAGGCTTCCGCAGAGGCAAAGCGCCAGGCGACCGTGGAGGCTGGATAGAGAGCTCACTTTTTCATACTCCCTCCCCCAGATTACCTCCCCCCTAAATTGTTCCATCATGCTATACTTTCACGTATTTGGAACATGATTTGTTGGGTGTGGGGGTGCTTCTTTAATATCAGGCGGAGTGGATGGATGTTAGGGTTGAGGCAAGGGATGTTAGAGTTTAGCGTTTCACATGTCAAAGAAGGTTTTGTGGAGACTGCATTTCAGGTGTTGCGCAGTTGGCGTAAGGGGTGCAGGCTGTAACAATGCTTGAGGACGCACAGGGTCTGAATTGGAAGTATGCAAGCATGTCGGTGGCATCTTTTTTAGTCACCATAATTATAGGTGACATCGTTGCGCCGGTGATGCCCCCAAGCCCTAAATGCTAATGCTGATGCGTGTTGCTGTTGGGACTCTTGCTGCTTTATTTACATCTAGGCGCTCGTCGAATCTGGTGATAGGTTTAGCAACTCTGCAGGTATGACTACCCTGGGAAACAGCATATGTCCTCCGACAGATTCCCTCACTTATCATGCTTCAATCTGAGCACTTGTATCCCCTCTGGGGCAGGCCCTATACATGCTAAATCATAGGGCCCAGCGTGCAAACTGAACATGGGCCATTAGAACTTGAGCGGATTACCGTGGGCCAGGAGGGTACATGTAAGTGTCATAGTAGGACAAACCCCAATATACTATAGCAGTTTCCATTCTCTTTTCCATTATCTCAATACCCGAAAGCCTGAACCTAAACCCTACATAACCCAGTGGTTTCCACAGTTCTGATGCATTTGACCCCTAGCTCTCTTCTCCATTATCCCAATATACCTCAATAGGCTCCGGAGCCAATGCCGACATGAAGGGTCATGGCTAATAATAATTAAGGTTTAGGGTTTAGGGGTAAGAAAATTACAAATCTAACCCACTTTAACTACCTGGACCCCCAACATAGGTAGAATCATTGCCTTGTGCAGCATTTTCGGGGCCGTTATTTTACCTACTTGCAAGGTCATGGAAACGTCCTATCACCGCTGAGCTTATACCGTGCATGATGATGTAGTTTCTGTTTTCTTTTTCATTCTATTCCATGCCCCAGACAAGCCTATGTACTCCTATACAAGCCCTATATACACCTATATACTTTGAACCCCAAACCCTAAACCCTCAACCCTAAACCAATACATAACCCTACATAATCCCCGTCAAGTAGGGGCTGAACCGCAGGTGCAAGCCGAAGCGAGTGCTACGCAGAAAGCCTCAGCGACTGCTACCGGGCTGTTTTTGAGGGTTTAGCCGGGTTTAGGGTTTTGGATATAAGTTAGGTCCCCTCTAGTAATAGCTCCTTAATATGGAGTTATTAGGGCCTTAATATACCTACAATAGTCCCTTGTGGTACCCATTACTGGGTGGGGGATTGACCCAAGATATAAGGTTTTGGGGGTCAAAGGTGCAGGTTTTAGGGTTTCAGGTCTGAAATAGGATTTAGGGTGTAGGGTTCAGGATTTAGGGCAAATTTAGGGTTCAGGTTTTAGGGTGTTTTGGGCTTTCCGAGGGAGTCCATGTAGGCATAACATATTCTATCTCCCCCTACATATAACCACCCTCCAGCCCCCTGATATCATAACACTTTATGCCACAATGAGAATACTTGATATTATGACAGTGATTTATTAATATTAGCCGTGGACTCCATAATGCCCATAAAGGCTTCATATGAGTACTTTTGGGTTCCAAATATGTACTATATGGCCACGGGACCCAGTGTGTTTGCTTTCAAATTCTCATGGTTGCTGGGTTTGGAGCTAGGGTTCAAAGGTTTAGGGTTTAGGGTTTAGGGTTTGGCTTCTTGCGGATGTTCCAAATAGTGGCATTTCCCTCCATCCCTCAACTAACACGATCCCGCGGTGAGTTCAACATTAGGCAGGAAAAGCCCGAGTGATAGTTAAGTCAGAACCACGTAGTCCTATGGTCTCTTACAAGTCAGATAACTCTAATGTCTCGAAATCTACGTACCTATCATGAAACCCTAAACCCTACACCCCATGACTAGCATTTCCGAGGGGATCATCGTGAGGAGAAAAGGTCCCTATACACATGATTGAAGGCTATAAGGAGCTTAGGTATGATACGTGTGGTTATCGGGAGGTGGGGAAGTTCGGCTCTCGGGATTGCGTAAGGGAGGGTTTACATGGGGTTGAGGAACTAAAGTCAAGATACCATAGCTTACACAAGATTTACATACAGCATGATTTCCTCAGTATGGTGGCTGAAATTAATTAAGTGATTCTACAGCAACCCAGATCAGGGATTTGATTCCACCGTATGTGCTAAATGAGGTATTCGCGTGATCTAGGCCAATCTGGAGCCATACCATATGAGGGGTACCTTTAAAGGGGTTGATCGGGGTTTAGGATTATGTAGGGTTATATAGAGTTATATAGAGTAGGTATGATGCCAGGGATCTTCCGTGTAACCCCCCTCTGAGACACGCGACCGCAAGCCTGGAACCTATCGCTTTAGTCAATCATGCCTCAGCATCCCTTAGCTGTAACCCTAACCCGGAAACTCCAAGCTCCAAAGCTTTAATCCCCAGATCACAATCCGCAGACCCTAAACTCAAACCCCAAATCTACTTTCAGCCATGGGTACGGAGCCGAGGCAGAGGCAACCTACACTGCGCCCCGGCACCAGAAGGTGAAAGCACAGTGAAGTGAAGCAAAGGAACCCAGATAGCCCCTAAACCTCGGGGTATATATTGGGTTTTTAATAGGGATAGTGGAAAGGACAATGGAAACTATTATATTATAATAGGGTATACATATATATATATTTATTAGGTGAAAGTGAAGTGAAGCAAAGGGAGTTTGCTCATGTACAGGGTTTAGGCATTCTGGGACTTGGGGCTTCGGGTTGGCAATCTGGTAGTACCACCCAACAGATATTAACATGCTACATGACACCGCATTGGGATTTTTTTGCGATGAGGGGTGTTTGTTTTACTAGTCACTAGGGTGTGATGAGCATTTGGGGTGCAAGTGTCGTTCTGCCAGGGTTTCGGAAAGATGTACCCCATCACCCCACATTCTATTCGGGCAAGGCGGCTAAGAACTCTCAACCCTGAGGCCTCAACCCTGAGGCCTGAACACTGAACCCCAAACCATGAACCCTAGACCCTAAACGGACCCTCAACCCTCCTAGACCTGAATTCAAAACACGAAGCCCCAATTCCTGAGCCTTCCCGTTACCCTGGCACCAGGTTACTGAATCCTTGAACCCACATGAGCCATAGTCTAAATCCTCAAAGAGGGTTATATTGGGGAGTATATGGGGGACTATTATACGGATCATTCAGGGGATACTGGGGGTTTAGACTATGAGCCCTATAATCCCCTGTATCATCACAGTTTCCATTTAATTGTCCATCTTCTTTTCCGTTTGATTCTCCATCATAGTGGTCATTAAGGGGGATACCCTAAGCCCTAAACTCTATATATCCCCATAGTACCCTTGATATAATATAGTAATTTCCAGATTTTCCTTTTCCCGTATCCCTGTATGGTAGTTTCCCAAAATAAGGGGGATACTAGGAGTTTAGGCTATAGCTCACGCCCTAAGCTCTTCTCGAGTCCCAAGCTGCAACACCATTGCCTTGAACCACTTCGGTTTAGAGTTTAGGGTTTTAGGGTTTAGAGTTTAGGGTTTTAGGTTTTTTAGTTTGGGGTTTTGAGGTTTAAGGGTTTAGGGTTTAGGCCAACATACTCATACATTCCTGTAGAGAATCATGGATCTGTCTAGTGACTAAAGCCTAAACCCTAAACACCCTAAACGCTAAACATCCTAAACCCTAAACCCCAAACCCTAAACCCTAAACCACAAACCCTAAATCCGGAGTTCAGCTGAGTAGCTACTGAGGCATATGCAGAGGCGCAAGACACGGCCACCGCCAGCTACAAGGCCCCACGGTCAAGTTGAGAATGGGTTATATTGGGCGTAATATCAGGGTTACATTTGGGTTATGTTGGGGTTATATAGGGATCTTGTTTTGGGCTTATATTCGGGTTTCATTAGGGTTATATTTTGCTCAATTTCAGGCAGACCTTTTAGGATCAAGAGCACGGAAGGGCTTGCGTTTAGCTTTTGCAGTTCAAGGCGACGTAGAAGAGTTATGGTCTCCCTTAAGTAGATGGAACATGGGGTATATGGGTATCTTACTTTAATTAAGCCAAAGCTATATTCTATCTACTTAAGCGGGACTATAGTTATAACCAAGAATTGTTATTTTTGATTGGATTCTGCGTGCAACGAAAGCCTGCTTCAACAGTGCAGTTTCCTCACATGAGCTATAGTCTAAACTCCTTGGTTTCTATAGGGGATTATATAGGGGCTTATCAAGGGGAATCCAATTTAGACTATGGCTCACATAGATCTTCCTAGTTTATTCGTGTAGCAAGACTATTTGCAGCTGCCATCCCTACTGCTGAAGCCCATAAACCGTCAACCCCAAACCCTCAGCCGTCATTCATGCTGTTGGGACATCATTCGCAAAGCGGCATTTGCAGCTTCTATGCGCAGGTGTTCCAGGTGTTTGACTCAGGTGCCAAAATCAGAATCCTAGAGTAGCGGTTAAGGTTTACTGTAAGGTTTAGGGGTATTGCCCTCAAAAGGAGAATTCATCAAATGGACAAGAACATGGACAAGTAAGTGGAACGTGGAAATAAAATGGAAACAGGACTATGTAGCGCATTCTAGGGATTCGGGTTTACAGAAATCAGGGGCTACTTTGCGGGAGTCCTTATAACAAGGATCACGCTTTGAAACTCCCAGTTGAGGTTCTGTTTTGTGCGAAGAGATTCACCTCGAGTACGGTGTAGGGGTTAAGGGCTGCCAGGACCCTGTAGGTAGTAGCTTCCATTCCATTTGCCCTGTTCTTTTCCATTTGATTCTCCATCATCCTTCTATAACCCTATCAAAACCTCAATACTACCCCAATATACTAGAATTTTGAATGTCATTGCGCTAGCTTTTTGGTGTCTTCTTGCATAATTTGTGCCCGGTATGGGGAAGAAACGTAAGGACATGAAGGTTCACAACCTGAGGGTGTAGCATGTGCTAGATGTTCTGCAGTTGGGCTGGATACCGTAGCTTTTGGAATGGTTCCTAATTTCCACTTCTCATGTTCCTGCAACAAACACAACATGCTTCACTTACTGGTTCTTAGTTAGTTCGGAATCGGAATAAGGGATTACATTCCTTAAACAATCCCTATATAACATATTCCCTTATTCCCTACTATATAACCCCCAGTAAGTTCACCCCTGAGGGCGCGCCTTGGGTCACTTCACGTTCTTCCTTGTCTGACGAGTCTGCAAGCTTGCACTTCAGCATTCACAGCTTAAGGAGAAACCCTAAACCCTAGACCCTAAACCCCAATCCCTAAACAAATGTAGGCTTGTTTGGATCTGGATAGATCCCCTCAAGCATGCATGTGCTGAACTTGTGCTTTAAACTCCACCCTGCATATTCATGCGAAAGCTGCAGATACTAGGACTGACTGCGGAGCAATTGGTGCAATCCATCCGCAACCCCAACTCGTAAAATATGGGGTTGAGGGTTTAGGGGGCCTTCTGTTAAACCTGAGGATTGAAACAAGCACCAGTAGTATTTCACACATGTGCGCATTAGTCCTCAAAATAGAGTAGGAGGATTCAGGATAGTGCTCTCGACGCGTTTCATAAGAAACCATCATCCTAATAGGTTAACCTGTACACCCTATACGCCAAACTCACATACCTAGACCCTCCTCCTACCCTCTATTAGGGCCCAAGTACCGACCATTAGGGACCATATATCCCCAATTAAGGGTACAAGGAAAGTCCTGGTAGACACACAAACAAAGAAATAAATACTCAGCCGAATCGTCGCTCTCAGGCCGTCGCGAAGGCCAATGCGCAGAAGAAGGTGAAGGAGGATGGCAACAAAGCGAAGATCGTGATTGCGCCATGGCTTTCTACAACTTCGTAATCGCAGCTAAGTGCCCTTAAAGGTTCAAGGTTGTATTCCGGCCACCATTTCTCAGAACTTAAAGAGACGGAAAATGCACGCTTCACAGTGGCATGCCAAACGAATAGCAACTACTAGGTCCTTCCACTACCTCCTCCGCCTCCGCCAATCATAGTCCCCCTTAAGTAGATAGAACATGGCTTTGGGTATATTATAATAAGATCCCCATATACCCCATAGTCTATCTACTTAAGGGGCCCTAAACCCTAAACCCTATATAACCCATTATAGAAGTTTCCATTTTATTTTCCATTATCCCCACATAACCCCAATAGTATACTCCATTTTCTATCTACTGAAGGGGACTCTAATTTTCCACCACCACTACCCGTGCCACGACTAACTCTCCTTCGCAATCATGATGATCCCTAAGGCTCCAAATAGCCCAATGTAGGTCATATTTATAGAGTTTGGGGCCCAATGTAGGTACTATTTATAGACATGGAGCCCCAGGGGATTGCAGTACGTACTCACTGAGGTCAGCGGTACAGCAGAGCTGTAAGCAGTCAGTTGGGGCTGTATGGCGATTAAATGAGGTTTACATGGGTCATGACATCCTAATGTTGAACAAGGTTCCCCCCAGACAACCAGAGAATCTGAGGCCCGAAGAAATACTTAATTAATATTGGGGGGGAGGGGGGGGGTGGAATGTATTGAAAGCATCAGATAGGGCTGCCTCTAAAAGCCCTTTTAAAGCCCTGTTATACAAACTCTTGTCTATTGAAATCTAATGAGAAACGAATGGAAACCCACGTGAAAGTTAATTGAACCCGCATTACATCTAATTATTGAGGCCGCATTACATCTAATTTACATCTAATTAAACCCAATTGAAATCAAATTAAGACCCAATCAAAACTAATTGAAATCAAATTTACAGCCATTTAAAAGCAACTGCAAACAAATTAAGATTCCATCTAAAGCCGATTGGAATCGAGTTGAAATTCAATATAAAACCCCTTGAAGTCAAACTAGAATCCAATTAAAACCCATTGAAATCGAATTAAAACCCAATTAAGAACCCATTCAAATCGAACTAAAACCCAATGAAAACCCATGGAAATCGAACTACAATCGCATGAAACCCCAATGAAATCGAATTAAATCCAATTGAAGCCAATTGAAAATGAATTCAAATCCAGGTAAAGTGAATTGGAACCTAACTAAAAGTCCATCTAAAATCCATTGGCATCGCATCAAGATCCAAGTAAAACAAGCTGAAACCGAGTTAGAATCCACTTGCAATCCATCGAAATGGTTTTTATGTGCAAAAATACTAAACATCCAGCTAAAGCCAGTTGAAGTCTCTTTGAATTGCAAATGAAATAAACTGAGATCCAAGAGACTACAACTGAAATCTAACTACAGTGAACTTTAAGTACGGCTAAAATGGTAGCAAAATCAATTCATGTTTTATGTGAAGCCCTTCATACAGGCACAAACAAAACACCCCAAACCCAGGATATCAAGGGGGTATTTTTGTATCTTTATCATACCGCCCCTATGACCTCACCCCCCCCCCCCATTCATTAGTCTGCAGGATTTTTTGGCCCTGAATTTATCATTTATCATTTACTATTAGCGTGGTTTTAGTATCAGGGGGAAGGGAATAATAATGGAGAGTCAAATGGACAAGAAGATGGAAAATGACATGGGAACTGTGATTAGTTGCTTATAGAGATCGTTACCAGTGTTATGATTTTGAATTCCTGGTATCATACTGGAGAAGTGGAGAATTCGGAAAATGAAGCGGACACTGCTATACTACTATGTGGGTACTTGATTGAGCATCGCAATGAGAGACAACAAACCCTAGCCCCTAAATCTTAAACCCTAAGCCCTACACCCTAAAACCCTAAAGACCTAAACCCTAAGAACTAAACCCCAAACCTTCATCAGCTTTAAGTCTTGGAGAAGTCCGACACGTGACTACACGCCCAGGAAGCCACTGCAGATGCCCAGAAGAAGAGTAAGGCCAGCGCGAAGGAGGTGGCCAGTGCCACCAGGACGGCTTAGGAGGATTCTACAGAACCCAGTTGGCCCAAGTATTGCGTAGTTTGGGGAATGACAGTAGGACTTGCAATATAAGCTTTCAGGCGGTTTACGATTGCTAGGTTCTTGGATCCTGAGGGGAAGGTGATGGTGGTGGTATTTGTGATGGTGTTGGTGGTGGCAGCTAAGTTGTTGTCGTCTCTAGAGCATAAGTATTAGTAAACAGAGAAGCAGAAGAGGAAGGAATCTGCAGTTATCAATAGTAGAAGGAGCAGCAGGAGTAGTTTTTGGAAGGGTCTCAGTCATTATCAACTGCGAGTGTTGAACGCCGTGACAAAGGCCCTGTCCTATAGACTTGCCAGGTCCCTGCTGGGATTCTGCAGAGGTCGGACTTGCATGGGAAGTATTGTGAAGCTCCTCATCATGTGCTGAAGAAAGGAAGTTGTGAGATGTCTATCAGGGGATGTGCGAAGGTCAGGTAACAACAAGTTAGATGCACCCCGCGTATGGAGATCGATTTCCAGGAATTCCAGTCTGCTGTGCAGCACATAGTTTTTGAGTCTACCTGGAAACTACTATAGTATATGATAGTATCATGGAAAACGAAATGGAAACTACTCTTCGTTCGGAATCCTGAAACCCTTGAGGGTTGTAACTGAATTGTCAGGACCGTGACCGCTCAGGGTGAAGGAGGCCGTGGGCCTGTCTTTTGCAGACATGGAGGGCGCCACATAAACCTCAATACACTGTAAACTAGAATCCTTATAAAGACTCCAACTGAGCATATTTTGGAAATTTCCAAAGATTTTCGGCAAATTAGAGCCCCGGAAATGCTGTTGGAATCGTAGGTGCGCTGATAAATCTTTGGCCTTTTGTGCTTTTGCTTTAAGCAGGTTTGCAAGCCCAAGCTCTAAACCTGTTTCCGGTCGAGGGTTTAGGGTTTAGGAGGCTCCTTTGTGGGCGCATCTAAAGGTCAAGGTATCGCGACGCCGTTAATTATGTAGGTGAAGAGTACCTGAAATGGATTTTGGATGCAGTTGCAGCAGCTTTGGCAACATGCCACTTTCTGAGACCCAAAGACACTTCTGCTGCTTTTTGTGGACCAAACTCTTGTAATCCCCAGGCCCATAGGAGCTACTGTCTAAACTCCTAG